ACACTCCTTTTTTAGTATCTGGCAGAAATCATGAAAATCCTTCCTACAACGTACTCACCTTTATTTTTCTTGGGCAGCAAACTCCCAAAAGATTCTTTAAAACCCAAAAAAGTGGAAGAACCAGGTAGAGAAGATTACAAGGGGAAGTGAGAATGCCTTTCTTGTAAAGCCAGCTTAACCATAGTTTTGTTCTGGTAAAATTCCACTCAGTATCTAAGTTGGTCTGTTAAAAAAGTTAAATAAAAGTCGTTGAAAAATAAAAGATGTATGTGCCATACCGTGCTGAAAGCAATGACACTTATCGACATGAAGTACATATATACCATAGATAAGGGTTTTCCTCGTTAATCGCACATCCTTATTGACAGAAAATCGTTAGTATCATTGATTTAAAACTCCCCGGCGAAAAAATGAATAGCAGGCTAGCGGACTTTGGGCTTTTACGTCATTATTCCTGAAACATTTCCGGTTAGCCTCGAGGCTGTGGACCAGAGTTAGTTTTTTGGCTCACGTCCCGAAAGATAACAAACGCTTGCGATTTCAACGGCTGAGCATAACGAAAATAATCCAAGATTGCTTTCGTTTGGGTTAACTTCGCTATATGATTGGTTCGGAAAAATATCGAGCTACATTCTCAACCAGTAAGATCCAAGAATAAAACCAATCGCGCACTGACCATTCCTATTTCCCCTAGCCCAGGAGCAGTTTGCTTGCTTTTAAAATGATTCCTCATTGGCTCTCGATGATACCTTCTTTGCCTCGATTGGTTGCTGTCATTACTTTGGGTTTTAGTTTTAAGACACTCGGAATGTGATCTAAGTAAAAAATATACTGCAAATTTATAACCGTCTTAAGGAGCAGCAATCTATTCAAAGTTGCATTTACCGTTATCCTTGTGTAAGATTCATTCAACATGGCGATTAGCATATTCAGAGCAACTAATACTGCTACAATGTTGAACGCGCCAAACAGCACCATGCCTGTTCTCCATATTGTTTCATATTCTGTCTCGTCGATTTTAAAATTGTCACGGTCGATTTGGCCGAATAAAGACCAAAAGATGGTGGAAACACTGCTTGAAAACCTACGAACAGATACAATTTAAGTACTTTAATAAATTAATAAAGGGAAGTATTCTGGAATCATTACTACAAGAAAAGCAGGAGAAAGATTAAGATCAGGTACAACAACAGGAAGGGAACGACGAAAAAGGAGAAGAGGAAAAAGAAGGGAAGGAAAACAAAATTGTTTCAAAACTTGTTAAACACCTAACGATGACTTTTCTATCATCGTGAATCTATCAACTCATCTCATAAGAGAATAAACCGCTAATCACAAATTCCCTAACTCACCTTTCTAGGTGCAAGGGGTCTGTTTCGTTTGTGATCACTTTACGTGAAATAAAATGATCCTTAGCTTTCTCATACTGCAAGTATAACTTCGTGAAACTCACAACAAATGCCAGAAAAGCGAAAACAAAAAAAAAGAAGAACTTCATTACATCAAACAACATCAGAATGAATGCTTGTAACAATGGGCCCATGACGGCATTTTCTTCGATAAATGAGAAGTTGTGCGCAAATGCAAGAAGTATTGCCACAGCAAAAACACACTCGGAAAACAGCACAACCTTGTAGGAACGATCGTCGCTATGGTTCTCCCATTGCAAAGAATCCCCTCTGTCTACAATACTTGTACGGGCAAACCAACCCATGACGTAACAAAGAACAAACAAGGTCACTCTAACCACAGCTAGATAGTTCCATTTGTTTGCAAAGAAGCGAACTCTTCCTTGTTGAAAAACTTCTTTAACAAAATCTACCAAGTGTCCGATGACGAATGCCACAACAATCCAATCTGCAAAGAGAAATTTGGGTAGAATTGCTTAAGTGAACCAGTATTAAATTTCAGACTGAAGATGATGCATGCGCTGTAAGGTGAAACGTTTTTTCCATCATTTAAAACTGAGTATAGTGATAGCATTGTAAGTTCTTGTTCTTAAATTATTTTATTTCTGGCCTGCTTGATCATGACATTTAGAAAATAAGCCAAGTCTTCAAGGAAATCTAGCTGGAATAAAAAATACAATATGCTGACTTTTAATATTCTTCTGTACTCACCATTGATGGAATATTCCAGGAACTGCGTGTCTCGTTGGAACGAAGTCAAAGTAAGCACGAAAAGAAAAATTTGATAAGCTCCGCAATTGGTGAGAAATTTTAAACAAGGTGAATGGAACATTCTGGCTACCTTGTGTCTGGGCAGAAAGGTTTCGAAAGCAAGCCAAATCGCAAAGATCAAAGGAGACAAAAGAGATGATAAAAGCACCACTGTAAATCTTTTCCCTGGGCTGTTTTCCAGGAATGGGACATGTCTGAGGGCTTCTGACTTCAATACCAGCTGACTGTAAGGATGGCTGACAAACTGAAAATAACATGTACGATTAGTTGTTGAGTTTAGGAATCCCGATAAGGAGAGGCGATTTCAAGAAAAAAGCCGCCGGAAAGTAAATGCCTGTGTTTTTCAAGAGTTCATCTTCTATATGAATAGGTAATAAAGCTTGGGTTCGTCACTGAGTTTAAAAAAATTAAGGTTAACAGACAGAGAGCCAGAAAGGCAAGTAGGAAAACGTTTAAAATGATAGGTAAGAAAGATGAGTACACCTTTTCATTCCTGGTAACTATGGCAAATTCCAGAATGTTCAAAACCACTCCATCCGTGTTTAATGGTGTACTTTTTTCGTTCTCCATCTCCATAACACACCTGATCTCTTTCATTGAGCGGCATCCATTTAACAGATCCACAGTAAACTCTTTACAACCATCACTAAGCTCCAAATACTCTTGTCTGAACTCGTGCTCCCGTTCGGCCATGTGAGACAATTCCTTACTAAGAGCGCATGCGCGATGGACAGGATCAGGATCGCTGAAGGGGTTTTGGAGAAACGACGCCGCCATGTACACGGGACTTGCCAAAGCTCGGTATCTGTTTAAACGAAACAAAGTGAGTCCCAGTTTTTCATCAAAGTTGATTTCTGAGCCAACAGGCTTTTTTAAATCAATCGGTAAATTGGGAATGGAGAATCCATGTTCCAAGAGGAGTTTTACAATTTTGAAATTCTGCAAGCGGGCCGCCAGGATCAATGGCGTGAAGTGACGTTGGTATTTTAAGCTCATTGAATCTGGAGACATCCGCTTTGGTGATGAAGGATCGTGAAACTGGAGCAAAATTTCAACACCTCTCACATCACTCTCACGCACGGCGTGCAACAAGGCGAGTTCCAAGTCGGCTCCACCATGAAGTAACAAG